AGAACCCCAGGCCAGTGTGCTTTCTCTACCAGTGCCCTCGCTGTGTAATTTTCAGGTTCTGTAAGAACTCTTTATTTTTTCAAAGCTCCCTCAAGGTGATTGCTGAAAGGCATCTTACATTCATAATAAGAACCACAGGAGCCAGGGCCAGTCTAAGCACAACATTGCTTATTGATAGGCTGAGACTGGTACAAAACACCCCTCCGTATCCATTGGGATCCTTTACTTACTTCACTGTGGCCTCTGCCCAAATATCACCTTGTAGATCTTTCCTATATAAAATAGCCCCTCCTCGGTGAGCCTGGGTGGCTCAGTCAGTTAAAGCATCTGACTTTGGCTCAGGTCATGATCCCCAAGTCCTGGGATGGAGCCCTATGTGGGGCTCCCTGCTGGGCGGGGAGTCTGCATCTGCTTATCCCTCTCCCTGTCTCTCTCTCTGCCCCTCCCCCCACCACTTGTGCTCGTGTTCTCTCTCTCAAATAAATAAAATCTTTTAAAAAAAAAATAGCCCCTCCTCTATCCTTCTCTATTCCCTTACCCTGCTTTATTTCTGCAGAGCACCATCACCATGTATCTCTCCATTTGTTTTCCCCCATCTCCCTGCCCTCCTTGGAATGTCAGCTCCACGAGAGCAGAGACTTGGTCTTGTTCACTGTTGGAGCCCTAGCACCTAGAACAGCCTAGCACACAGTAGGCACTCAGTGGACCTTGAGCTGATGTATTGACCAAATCCCTACTGCCACCCTGCTGATCCAAGGCACCATCGTCCCAAGCCCAGACTCCTGAAGTGTACCAGATCCACCCGCCCCGCCCACACCCAATCCCTCCTGCACACACCAGCCAGGAGATCTTTCAAAACTGCCAACTGAATCAGGTCACTCCACAGATTAAAACGCTTCAGTGATCAAATAATTTGATCATCCCTTGCAGTGATGAGGAATTCTGTGGAAATACTTTGTTAATTCAGTAGAAATAAGTGTTATGTTGGCTATATTAAGGTGAGAAGCCAAATTGTTTATCAGAGCCTGAAAAAGGCCATACTGACTCTTGTGGTATTAGGCGTTAGCTAGTGCTGCACCATCCCCTAGCTTTGTGGTTTCCTGTTGCAGGCAAGGTTGGATGCTAAAATCAGTGGATGACAGTGTGATGAGGATTGTGCATCATGTCAAACTATCTTCCCACAAAATACAAAGGGAGAACTAATAACTATATGGCGAGAAACCACCTTAACCAAATGATTGCTAGCAATAAGACATCGTGCACGTCACATACCCCTTGATATGATACACTCTGAAAGGGCCATCACTTCTCCGATTCTCTGGCCAAAATGTACTTGGATTATGTAAGATATCAACATTTGGGGAACATGGATGCAAAGAATGTGGGAACTCTCTTCACTACTTTTGCAATTTTTCTGTAAGTCAAAGATTATGCCAAAATGCAAAGTTAAAAAATCAAAGCAACATAGGTGGCTTAATAGCTCTCTTCTTATACTTCAAGATTATATTGGGCAAGACTCAGCTGGATGATCCTTCTGCTCCATGTGGCAGTGACTAGGGTCACTTGGTAATGTTCAGCCCATGTCGGGGATGCTCTTGAACATCCAAGATGGTTTTACTCACGGGCTTGGCCCTCCGGCAGGGGTTGCTGGAAGGCTGGCTTCAGCCAGGCCCCCTTTTCTCCATGTAGTCCATGGGCTTCTCCATGTGGCCTCTCCAGCAGGTCAGTCAGTCCTCTCACATGGTGGCTCAAGGGTCTAAGAGCCAATATTCCAAGAAATAGAAGTAGAAGCTGCTAGTCCCTGTCTTGATCAGTTTGGGCTGCTGTAACAGAATACCATATAGACAGGGCATTTAAACAACAAGTTTATTCCTCTCAGTTCTGAAGCCTGAAAGTCCAAGATCAAAGTGCCGGCATGGTGAGTTCTGGGGACGCCCCCCTTCCAGGTTGCAGACTGCCCCTTCCTTATTGTATCCTGACATGGTGGAGAGCAGAGAGGGGAAGCAAGCTCTCCCATGACCCTTATAAGGGCACTAACCCCATCTAACCCTAATCACTTCCCAGAAGCCCCACCTCCTAATATCATCACATGGTGGAGGGCAGGTAAGGGTTCAATACAGGAATGTTGGAGAGATGCAAACATTTAGTCCATCATCGTCCCTTAAGGCCTGGACCTAGAAACAGGCAAAGCATCAGTTTTACCATATTCTATTGGTCAGAGTAGTCTCAGGGCCTGTCCACGTTCAAGGGGAGGAGACATAGTCCTCGCCTCTCAATGGTCAAAGAATTTGTTCCCTTCTTTAACTCCCACATGGGAAAGGGCTTTTCCCCCTCCATTGCACAGGATGAGATTAATCTTAATCCTCGGTTCTGGGCATGCTCTCAGCATTGCTCCAGGCGTGACTGCCTTTATAGATTTGTGTCTTTGCTTAGCTTTTTTCAAAAAAGCAATGGAAATCTTATGTTTGTCCTTTTTGCATCATTTATGATTTGTATACCTGCTTCATCACATGGCTAGGAAGAACTTCTGATGAAAAATCTAAGCTTATCTCTGGTTGGAATAGGGTAGCCTGATACCCTTATTTGTAAAATATTAGCTTTCCTTTATTTGCATTATTTGGCAAAACATAGCAGAACCGGAAAAAAAAAATGTACAGTCTAAAAGGTTTCTGGGGAGAGAAGCTCTGAAGGCTGGTCTGAAAAGTAAACATAGGGGGTGCCTGGGTGGCTCAGTCATTAAGCATCTTCGGCTAGGGTCATGCATGATCCCAGGGTCCTAGGATCGACCCCACATCGGGCTCCTGCTCAGTGGGAAGCCTGCTTCTCCCTCTCCCACTCCCCCTGCTTGTGTTCCCTCTCTCACGGTCTCTCTGTCAAATAAATAAATAAAATATTTAAAAAAGAAAAGTAAACATAGGATGTGTTTTCTTGGCTAAATTTCCTAGAGGTAAGGCAAGAAAATGAGACCATGTATCTGCAGATAGCATTACAGTGGGCTTTGCAGTTAAATCAGCTTGGGTTGAATCCTGATTCCTCTACTTTTCAGCTGTTTGGGAATTCACCTGACTCCCAAGGTCTTGGTTTCTTCATCTGCATGTTGGGAATAATAATGTCAACATTGCAGTGACTTGCGAGAGTTACAAGACACAACAATGTAAGTAACACATCCATTATTCTAATTGCTGTAGCGTGGTTCTCAATATATAACTAGTGTGATTATGTAATTAATGTTTATTAGGCTACAAAATACTTTCATTTACACCTTCAAACTACTCCTAAAGAAGGAAAACAGATGCATGTCCCAATTTAGGGAATGAAGATATTAAGACCAGCAGCACAGTGAAGATCACAGGCTGGTTCAATAGGAAGGCAGACTGCTGTTGACTGTGGTCTGGTACTCCGAGGTGATGAGGCCCCGTGCAGGCAGATGGGGCAAGGTGAGCACCTCATAACCAGACTCTGACCTTGTCACCTTAGATGTACCTGAGGCAGGACCATGTGCCGAGAACAGACTGAAACCACAGACCTTGCTCCCGGGAGAGGCATTCTACTAGTTGAGTAAGTGATGACAGGATTTGGAGGTTTTCCCAAAATCATAATGGGAAGATATCAATATACATTATTAAAAAAAACCAGAAGCAATACCATCTGTCTTCTTAGACTAACAGCAACTTTACTGTCTGCAATAATGTTTGAGAAATAGACTAAGGATCAAGCACTTTTAACTTGAAAAAATGAACTTTTCTTCCTGAACTTTTTTTTTAAGATTTTATTTTTAAGTAATCTCTACACCCAACATGGGGGCTTGAGTTTACAGCCACCCCCCCCATCAAGAGTTGCATGCTCCTCCCACTGAGCCTGCCAAGAAAGTTAACCCTTTCTTAACCTTTTTATAATGGTTAATGAAAGAGTTTTTGCCCCAGAGAGCATTTTAATTAATTTCAGATCATAACAGGCATAAAGAAGCGACTGGAAGGTTAGGCCATCAGATGTGGGTAACTTGGTTCCATGAGGTTTTTGTTTGTTTTGTCAGAAGCATAAAGGTATAGTGAAACTACCCCCCAAAAGGGCAAAGTATAGAACAGTATGCTATTGCTTATGCACAAAAATGGGATATACAATTGACCTTGAACAATGCAGGGGTTAGGGGTTCTGACACACACCCAGACTGCACAGTTGAAAATCTGCATGTTACTTTGGACTCCCCCAAAACCTAACCACTAAGAGCCTGCTGTTGACTGGAAGCCTTACCAGTAACATAAACAGTAGGTCAACACATATTTTGTATGTTATGTGTATTATAGACTGTATTTTAAAAAGATATTTATTTATTTATTTTAGCGAGAGTTTGGAGAGAGAGAGAAAGAGAGCAGGGGGAGGGGTAGAAGGAGAAGGAGAGAAGCAGACTCCCTGCTGAGCACGGAGCCAGATGCGGGGCTCGATCCCAGGACCCTGGGGACCATATGACTTGAGCCAAAACCAAGAGTCGGACGCTCAACCAACTGAGCTACCCAGGCGCCCCTATATACTGTGTTCTGACAATAAAGTAAGCTAGAGAAAAGAAAATGTTATTAAGAAAATACATTTACAGTATTATACTACATTTGTGCAAAAAAATCTGTGTCTAAGTGGACCCATGCAGTTCAAGCCCATGTTGTGCAGATCTGAGATGGGTTGCAGAACTAGCAGGGTCCTCAAACTGTGGGTGAAATACCGCCAGTGAAATCTAGAAGGATACGTCCAGGGAGGGGTAGTGGATCCCACCAAGGTCACAGAGAAAGCTAGTATTGGAGTGCCCTTGGGAGGGGGTGAGGGGGTCTTGCCTTCTGGCCAACCTCTACACTTGCCTTATTGCTTGGCTCAGGTACCTTCAGGGATAAGCTAGGTGAGGACAGCAGAAGATCTGGGCTTGGCAGGGAGACCAGTGGAGAAACCCAGTGGAGAGTCTCGTGGCTCTGTGTCCACCTCTGACTATGGCTTTCTGGCAAGAACGGATAGACATGGCCTGGCCCATGACACAGTTGCTGCTTCTGGCTTTGGTGGCTGCTGCGTGGGGTGCCCAGCCCAGGACTCCAGGGGCTGGGATGGACCTGCTCAACGTCTGCATGGACGCCAAGCACCATAAGACAAAGCCAGGCCCCGAGGACAAGCTGCATGGCCAGGTGAGGATGGAGTGGGGTCACGGGTTGGGGAGAGAGCTGACCCTAAAAATGGAAGAAGTCGCGGAAGGGGAAGATCAACTTTGGGGAGCAATGGAGTCAGGAGGGTGGCTGAGGTGATCCCCCGGAGGCTACCAAATCTACTTATAGTGGGGGGACCATTTCTCTGGCCCCCACTATGGGCCAAGTGCTTTCCTCACAACTCATCAGTGAATATGCCCAGAGGGCCAACTTGGTAGGTGGATGGTGGTCTCTACTTACACAGGAGAGAAAATAGGAAATGAGGTCCACAGAGGGCAGAGGTACAGTGTGCACGTCCGTGTACGTCTGTGCGTACACACACCGTGGGAACTGAGAGGCTAGACATGAGCAGGGGCCAGGACAGAGTCGGGCAGTGCCTTTGCCAGCCTTAAATATGCCCCTGGCCCAGGAAGCTCAAAAGGTACAGGAGATTCAGGTCCCTCAAGGTCATGATGCAGCAAACACGGAGGAACAGTCCAGGTCCTCCACCCCCATTAGGTGTCGAAGAGGCAGTGACAAATCAGATAACCCTGGGAAGACTTCCCAGGAGAGGTGCCATCAGCCTTGGCCTTGGAGGATGAGTAAGAGTTTTCCAGGAAGACAAAGCAGGAAAGGGCAGCCTGGCAGAGAACAGCTTGTACACGGGTGGGAGGGTGAGAGCATGGGCAGTGGCGAGCGTAGTGTGACCAGAGCCAAGGATGTTGCTGCCCACAGAGAAGGGGAGGCGAGGGAAGCCCCTGAAGCAGCTCGGAAGCTGAGCCTACGGTTGAACTCCAGGCTCCCGACAGATGCCGGTCCTTCATTCCCCCTGGTCTCCTCCTCTGCTCCCCACGAAGTCTCACGTTGCTGGAGGACTGGGATGTCCTCAGGGAAAGCTGGCCTGGACTCACCCAGAGGCTAGAAGTGAAGAGCGGGAAGCCCAGAGCCCCATGACTTCTGAGTCATTTCCGACTTCTCATTTGTGGCGGTGGTGTGTGTGCGCATGCGCTAAAATATACCTCGTATAAAAGTTGCCATTTTAAGCATTTCTAAGTGTCAGGTTCGATGGCCATTCATATTGTTGTCACCATCACCATCCATCTCCATAACTTTTTCTGAAAGACTACTTTATCTTCAGAACTTTTTAAGTTCTAGAAGTTGCGTCTAAGACCCCTTGGGAGCACTTCTTCTTGCCAAGAAATGGCATGCAGACTTTTGAGGGAGCCATTTGCTTGTAATTCTCAGGGACAGGGGCTATAATGGGAGTGCTTATCTGTGTCAAGCCCCCTACTAGAGGCCAGCAAGTGCTTTTCAGTATAATCATTCACTCTTTTGGAGGCAGGAGCCACTGAGTCTGGTTGGCAGGTCAGGGATGAGGTGCATGGGGTCATGCAGAGCCACCAGGAGTTGGGGCATCTGAGGAGGGGCCCGTGTGAAGTCAGGGAGGCCTGGAAGCATGTTCGATGTCAGCTGTGCTGGAGGTGGGCTAGGTTGTTGGATAGAGGTAGGTTTGGTTCCACCCTCTTGGATTTTCCTTAGTTTCTCCTGAGTGCTAGAGTTCGTCTCAGAGATTTTAGGTGACTGGCTCATAATCACTCAGCTCCGGAGCTCCAGCTTGGAACTATTTCTACGGAGAAAGCTTCACCACTTCCACTGTCTTATCGGCCTTGAATTTACCTCTCTGGGATGGTCTCCCACATCGAGTCAGGTCCACATTGGAGTTCATGTGCAGGCCATTATGCCCTCTGTCCCCCACCGCTTTCTGGACCTATCTGGAGTCCCCTAGCCTGGGGATCCAGACCCTAGGACAGCCAGATCAGCCCCTTTCACCTCTGCCCTTACCACAGCTTGGGGCCAGGCTCTTCTCCTCCCTGCCCTGAGTTAAAATCTTCATCCCACCATTTACCAGGGTGCAGCTTATGTAAACTCTGTAACAGTTGAATGAATGATGTTTTCACTAGAGTGTTGAGGGCATAAAGTGCAAAAGCCTCAGGGACTTTGCACTTGCTGTTTCTGTGCCTACAATGTTCTGTGTCTTCCCCCTGCCCCCAACTAAAGCCATAAACTCCATAAAGGCAGAGATTTGATCTGTTTTGTTCACTGCTGTATTCTCAGCACCTAGCACGATGCGGGATTGACAATAAGTACTCAGTTAATATTGGCTGGATGCAAAATGAGTAATATAAATAACCCAAATCACGTGAAATAACTTCGTAAACTGTTTAGAGTTGTGAAAATAATTGCCCCCCCAGACAGTGGTTCCCAGGCCTCCCACATCCCCTGTTTTACTCTCTGTTAAAAACTCTGTTATAATTGCCTCTAGCCCAAGGGCCAGGCATAGCGACGCCCTCCCCAGCAAGGGTTCCTCTGGATGCCCTACCTGGGGCAGAGGAGCCAGAAGATGCGGGAGACAGCTGGGCGGGGGGGGGGGGGAACTTAGTCCGGTGTCTTCCCCACACAGTGCACTCCCTGGAAGGAGAAGGCCTGCTGCTCAGCCAGCACCAGCTAGGAGCTGCACAAGGACACCTCCCTCCTGTACAACTTCACCTTGGACCACTGAGGCAAGATGGAGCCCGCCTGCAAGCGCCACTTCATCCGGGACAACTGTCTCTATGAGTGCTCACCCAACCTGGGGCCCTGGATCCAGGAGGTACAGGACCTGCCCTCACCCCAGCCCAGCAGGCTGCCAGCCAGCTGAGTCAAGGCTGCGGGCGGCCCACATCCCCGTCCCCACTCCCTCCCCTCCCACCCAGGTGAACCAGAGCTGGCTCAAGGAGCGTTTCCTGCACGTGCCCCTGTGCAAAGAGGACTGCCAGCGATGGTGGGAGGACTGTCGCACCTCCTACACCTGCAAGAGCAACTGGCACGGGGGTTGGACTTGGCCTTCGGTTGGGGGCTTGGGGGTGGGGGGAGACGCAGGTGGGGTTGGAGGATTTGGGGGTGGCCAGAAACCAGCTTCGGGCCCAGGGGCTGAATGTCTGTGTCCACGCCCTCTCCGCCTGCAGGAATTAACCGGTGTCCAACCGGGACCACCTGCCGCACATTTGAGACCTACTTTCCCACGCCTGCAGCCCTGTGTGAGGGCCTCTGGAGTCACTCCTACAAACTCAGCAACTACAGCCGAGGGAGCGGCCGCTGCATCCAGATGTGGTTCGACCCGGCCCAGGGCAACCCCAATGAGGAGGTGGCGAGGTTCTATGCCCAGGCCAGGAGTGCCGGGGCCCTGCCCCGAGGGCTGGAGCCTCTCCTGCTCAGCCTGGCCTTGATGCAGCAACTCTGGCTGCTCGGCTGAGCCCCTCCCACTGCACACCTTCCTAGTCTGCACCTGGCCCAGCCCGGGTGACCTGGCCTCAGTTGAGCTCAGCACTCTCAGATGAGGGGACCTCACAATGCCCTGGTCATTGGTTCTTGATCCAACATGGGTCATATGGGGTTCCTCTGACAGCCTATTTTAATAGATCCATGTGTATCTTGTGTCTTGTAAATAATTTGGGGATGATGGGGCACCTGGGTTGCTCAGTGGTTAAGCATCTGCCTTCGGCTCAGGTCGTGATCCCAGGGTCCTGGGATCGAGCCCCGCATCGGGCTCCCTGCTCTTTGGGAAGCCTGCTTCTCCCTCTCCCACTCCCCCTGTTTGTGTTCCCTCTCTCGCTGTGTCTCTCTCTGTCAAATTAATAAATAAAATCTTAGAAAGAAAATAATAATAATTTGGGGATGAGTGGGTTGGAGGGACATGCTTCATTGCTTTATCATTCCTATTGAGAGGCCCAAAGAGGGACTGTGACTAGCTTGAAGTTCACCAGCAAGTAGGAGGTAGAAGCTGACTCCTTAGTCTGAGGCTCTTACTTCTTCACCAGGCTTCCCCCCATGCCAAATTCATCAGTCCCACACTACAAGGGGATATGGGGTTGGGTGGAAAGAAGGTGGGCAGAGACTGACAGATGAATTCTCAGGCTCCTGGTGAGAAAGTTTCCTTCCCTTTCTTTCCCTTATTAGATGTGGACTAGGGTGCAGATATTAGTGGTGGTAGTAGGTAAGGAATCCCAATGATGAACAACTGCATTGCTTCCCTTTTTTAAAAGAGACAGTTGCTGGGCAGACAGAGAGGGAGAGAAAGTCTCAAGCAGACTCCACACTGAACGTGGAGCCCGATGTGGGGCTCGATCCCAGGACCCTACATGACCTGAGCGGAAACTAAGACTCGGATGCTCAACCAACCGAGCCACCCAGATGCCCCTGCAGTGACTAATTTTATGCATGGTAGAATGTTATACTTGAATTCCAGAAAAGGAATTGCTGGGTCAAGAAGTATATGGATTTATAATTTTGATAGTTACAACTTTACAGGGGTGTATCAGTGTGCCCTCCCCCCCC